TATTGATGAAAAGCCACAAAATTTTTGGTGGATGTACATATAATTCTTATTTAAGTAATTATTTTTACCTTTAATTAATTTCCTGTTGGACTCAATTTAGCCAAGCAATCCCTATTTTCCATATCAATGTGAGAGCTTAGTTCAGAAACAGCCTGAAAACCGTCTAAATCTTAATGCAAATAATTACCACAATCAAAGACGAAAAGAAAAAATAAACTAATTGAACACCAACCTATGGAGGGAAGCTACATCAGAGCCCAAGCTGAACTCGGCACGAGCCACGGCTTCATCCCTGTCAGCCACCAGATGTTCCAACTGATTCCTAACAGCAACGTGAAAGCACTCCCGATCATTCGGCAATACGCCACTCAAGAACCTCCCAACCGCCGTCTTCGGCTCAAGCGGCGTGTTCAAACCGCCAAACTCACACTTACTGCTACTACTACTGTATCTACAAGCCACCACATCCAACGGCCTCCGATCAGTTCCCAATTTGATCGGACGAAGGGGAACAGACGGCAGGGCCGGAAAAAAGAATCTGGGTTTACTGTAAGAAAGGCAACAGTCCATTCAACACTGTGTAAAACCTTTCCCTATGGTTTTAAGTCTGAAGAGTTTACAGGGTTTTACGGGGTTTTTCTGGGTTCTGAAAACGTGGTGGAACTCTTGAGGGAAAATCCGACGAACGAGGAGAAATTTATATAGGGCAAAGAGGATAAGATGATGATATGGAAAAGTGAACTTGCGTAAACGGTGGGCAGCGGCAATTATGGTGGCGACATGTGGGGACAAAATAGAGAGGGGAGTACTATCCAGCTAAACCTTGTTTGGCTAAAAAAATTCATTTAAATAAATTTACTTAAAAGTGATAAATAATAAACAATTATTAATTAAAGTTAGGAATAAAGAACTTATATAAAGAGAGTGTTTGGTGGGAATCAAAATTAGTTTTTTAGTAGATTTTGATATAAGTTTTTGAAATGTGTAGTTGAAAAGTTATGAGATTATGAAAGATATGATTAATATTCATTATAATATCTAATATGATTTAACATTGCTACCAACATTACCTTAAAAAAAAAAAAAAAAAAAAAAAAAAATCTTATGTGGGAATTTATTTTCTCAATGATTAAAAATAAGTTAAAAAATTCTTATATGAGAGTTTATCTCATAATTTACTTTTTGATTAGATTATAATGATAATAATCTTAATCCATTCAACTTGCAATTATTTAGATTCCTCCAAATAAAAATAAGTGCAACAACATAAGCCTTTAGGATAATATCATTTTATATTCAACCCACAAACCTAATCATCAATAATTGTATTAATAAAAATTTACCACCCGTGAAAAAGACAAAGTAAGGGTTTAATCTACACAATTATTGAGCACCACAGTGGAATTTAATATTAAAAGTATATAATAAGTGGTAACATGATTGTGACAAAGGAAAAATGGTCCGAACAAGTGGAGATAAAAGAAGGCTAAAGATCAAGCATTTGAATAACAGGCCATATCTTATCAATTAATTTCAATTTTCGACCATGATATCTAGCCTAAAGTTTATGATTATAATGTCTTACGAAACTACTTTAATTAGCAATGTGCAATAAAAACTATAAGCTATTGTTTGATAGGAATTAAAATCTAAATTTTTATGAAAGTCAAAGTTCATAATTAATATTAATCACATATTTTGTTGGACCTACAACTTTTCAATCACGTATCTCATCAACTTTTATAAAAAAAAATTGCTGAAAATTTGATTTTAACTCCCCCACCAAATAA